TGCTGTATGTGGGACTCGGCCTCAGGATGGACGGAGAAGTGGTGCCTTGGTGCGCGCCCGGGATCCGAACCCGGGCCACCAGCATCGGAGCGCGCACACTTAACCACCAAGCCACGGGGCCGGCCCTCATTTTATCTTTAAAATATAAGCAGGATTAAAATTTTACTTGTTCCAAATTGTGATAGATTTTTAAACAAGGTCTGCATTTTGTAATCTGTCTTTTGGCATAAATATTAATTCTACAGAAACATTAGTTCAGCAACAGAATATGGCACCCCTACTATTGAAAGAAGCCATATTGAGCAAGTGCATTAGAATTTTATTTGAAACATTATATTTCTTTTCACAACTAGGAAAAAATATTTGCTTAAAAAATTCCAGGTCATACGCAACTGTGATTTCTTGTCACAAACATATTCCTATCACAAAACAGAGAAGATTTGGAACTGTTCAGAATGTTCTGGAAGCACTGACTCTTCATGAGCTCTACTTTTCAAATGTGATATGTCTATGTTGCTTGTATAGCTGATGGGATGCCAGTCTTCTCAGCTTGTGAGCACAATGGGTCGTATTTATATTTGTAATGTGCATGTTTATCCCATTCTTCATTAGAGGGTCCCTGCTTTAACATGTGAAGTTAAGTAGAAGGCTTGATCTTACAGATCTCTTGAGTTGTCCACACAGAAGTCTCTTCAATGCCTTATGGGATTTCCCATCACTCCAATTTCCTCCACGACCCCTGGTGGTGATATTTTTGAACTGTGTTCTGTTTCTCTCCTGTCATCCATAGGTGAAATAATGCTCCCCTCACTAGAACCACTGGAGAGACCAATGGTGAGGGGAAAATGTGTGTGTGTGTATTTTTAAACTGGCTTATTTCTTTAACCTTTCTAAGACTTGTGTGGTGGTTAAAATAGCACTGTCAAATAGAACTTTCTGCAGGGATGGCAATGTTCTATAATTGGCACCATCTGATACAGCAGTCACTAGCCATATGCGGCTATTGAACACTTGAAATGTTGCCAGTGCGCCTGGGAAACTGAATTTTTAACTTTAATTTTAATTAAAATTTAAATGGTCACATGTGGCTAGTGGTTACTGTATTGGACCGTACAAGTTGAAAGTAGTTTCTGGAATGTGATTCTTGCTAGCTGTGTGATCTTAGGTAAGTCCCTTAATTGCTCTAAGCCTAATCTTTCTCATCTGTTGGATGGAGATAATTATGTACCTACTTCCTAGGCTTGGTTTGAGGATTAAATGATATATGTAGAACCCAATGCTTGCTTTATGAAAAGGGCTCACTAACTCTTAGCTGCTATTTATTATACAAATTACAATGGCCCCAATCCACTTTATTAGCAGCAGTGTCTCATCTTTTTTGGAGATTACCCCCTCTGAATATTTCTCAGGTTCCCTTGAATGCACACTGTGGCTATGAATTAATGCTTTTTGATGCTTCTTTGCAACCACCTTGCTGGTGGAGGTGGAGCAGGAAGTTAGTGAAGGTTTCTTAGTGAACTGGCCCACCTGCAGGTCTTGAGACCTCATTTACTTCCATGACTCCCTCGGACCCTAGTGTAGACTTTGCCCAGGTGCATGTGGTGAGTGGGTCATATTCCCCCTTGACATTTTGCTCAGTCAGAGGAATTCCCAAACGATGGGATGGGGGCCCCAATGAGAACCTTAATAGAACAGCTCTTTCAGTTTATACACGCAGGCACTTTCCCCAAGGCTCCCCATATATAGGGTAACTGTTGACAAGTTCTGGCATCCGCTGCATACTGTGCCCATCCCAGCGCTGCCCACTGACTATGAAACCCTGGACCACCATGGTGAAATTCCACTTGGAAGATCTGTTGTCTTGTTTTCACTTTGATGTCTTGGCATCACTTGGGGTAGGCCCTGTGACTCTGGGTCCTGGGCTTTTTACTCCCATGGGACTTCTCATCCCTAAATAATTTAGAGCAAAATGAATGAGTGGGAGGAGGGAATACACCTGACTCTACCTGGTAGCATCTGGGACCCAAATGCAAATGACTCTATTGGAGAAAGATGGGGAGCCTTAGACCCTTCACATCCTCTAACATTTGACCTTTCTTAACTTAGTCCCTGAAAATTCAAGCCCCATTCTTTTGTGATTCTTTCCATAAGCAATGAACTTTCCTAACAATGACCAAAATATGAGAGTATTGAGCTCATAGTCAATTCTTCTTAATTTAAGAGTTTATTGATATCTAAAGAGATTTCAAGGCGATCCTAGAGAGATTATTTGTTTTACAGGACAATTGTGAAATATTACATATGAACTCAGTGTGCTAATAATAGAAATTATGCCTTTTCAGAAGAGAAAGGTATATGTTTCAATCAATTTTTTAAAAAGCGATGGCATGTGTATTTCCACCTATTTTTTTCTGAGGCTCTTCACTACAAATGCTTATTTAAACAAAGAAATAATCAATAGCACTTATTTTGTATAGGATGATTAAAAAATTCAACCCTTTGTGACGTGCCATAGGGAGAAGCATTCTGAAATGCATATTTGTTTTAATACAAGGAATATATAATAAGAATGAATCACTGAATTTAAACCTGTGGGTTATGTGTACATGCTTTAAACACTACTTCAACAATAAAGTAAGAAACTCAAGAAAATTCTGCTTGCAAAAGACCCATAATAATACAAAAGTGAAGTATGCTGAAGGAATAATAATATAAAACATCCTTCCACACTCATTTACTTTGTACTTACTTATTAACAATCCCATAATTTTTGGCTTGACTTTCTTTTGAAATTTCCTTTATGTATTTTTATGTTTTGATTTCATTTGTAGTATTCACTGTTCTTGGGTACATGAGAAGCAGGAAGATTTTATGAATAAAAGCTAATATTACTGTTTCAAATGAGAAGAACCATTATTAAACTTAAAAAATATTGCTTAACCAAAAAGTGTCTTTAATTATAGAGGAATATATGGTCAAAGCCAGAATATGGATGGTAAAATATTTCCTGTTATAAACCTACTGAAACCTGGGGACTATTAATTAATTGTGATTAGTTGACATAACTTCAGAAAGTTGTAGCCTCTGATGTGTGACAACACTGTGCTCATCGAATGGCAAAGACACTGATCTTCATTTCAATAGTCATCAAGTTCAAAAGTAAAATTAGCAATATCAACTTTGTCTATTATTTTAATAGAATATATTGTTCCATGTGAGTAAATTTTCTAGATAAGTGAAGTTCACCACCTCAAGTACTGATATTTTCTTTAATAAGATTGTAAGCTCCTTGAGGATGGGACCAAGAGTTATTTATTTAAAATATACTTCCTAGTGCAAGAATTACAGCATTAGGCACAGGCACTTAAAATATACTTTTTAAGTTTTACATAATTTATTTTTCACAGCCTCATTAAAAGCAGCAGAGTGGGGTGGAAGGAATCCTACCTGCATACTCTGGTACAATGATTCGATTATGTGTTTTCATCCTCTCAAAGACACTTAGCTTTCTGTTTACTTCATGTCTGTATCCCCGGCAACCATCACGGTGCCAGCTCAGTGGCTCTCCCTAAGTGTCAAATGGCTTGACTTGAACTGCTTTGGAATTAGATTCTCTGAGTGTGTGTTTTCACTTTGCTAATTACTAGCTGAGTGACTTTTTGCCAATTATTTTCCTTGAGTCTCAGTTTCCTCATCTGTAAAGCTGGGAAATGAATGCTAAGTTGTTATGAGACTTGTATAAGGTGGTTCATGTGTGTGCACTTAACCCACTGTCTGGCATATAACAGGCACCCAATAAATGTCTTCCCTTCCCTTCCTTTGTTTCTTTGCAGGGCGGATATTCTTCTCCCTCATTTTATAGACGAAGTCATTGAGGTATAGAAAAGTTATGTGACTTACCAAAGTTCACTTTTACATTTAGAAAAAGCACCAGAGTTAGACTCTATCTCCTGACCTCCTGCCGTGTTTCCATTAGATCATGCCACCACGTGTTTGTTTAACAAAGTCCATAGATAGTTATTGAATGTGAGGGCTCAAGCTCAAGAGAAGAAATAGATAAGAGAAGTAATTTCAGACTAAAAGACAATGAGAATTGTATTAATTTATGCAACAAATGTTCCTTCGTTGTAGACAGTAAAAAGCACTAAATTTTGATCTTACGTAAGGTTCAAGTTGAATGTGGCAAAGTTATTGCCTTAAAGAATCTACAAGTGGTAGAAATAAAAACATGAATCCAAAGGATGATAATCCAATGCAGTGCATAATAAGAGCCTCACGAGTGCTGTAAGTGCTAAGGGAATTCAGAGAGGTGAGAGGGGTCACTTCTAGAAGGTAGTATGTTTGGGCAGGTGTAATGATCCCCCCTCCATCATAGTGGTGTAGGGCTTAAGAGGACTTGAGTACTGCTCATTCTCAAGGTCTTCTGCCAATGTTACTTATTCTTTGTTTTTAGGTACTGTCCTCATAGGAAAACACCTGGATTTGGATTCAAAGACAAAGCTGTTTACAAAATCAGTTGTGCAATTACTTCTGCTGCCTTGTCCCTATCTATAACAGCTGTTCTGGAAAGTATTGCTTTTGCTTCCCACGTTTAATTAGTCACTAATGACCAACACGGACTATAAATGAGTTCTTTGCCTATTGTTGATGATTCAGGTCAAGCACGGCAGATGGTTCCTTATGCTGAATTCTCCAACAAGCATTTATTACAAGAAGATGGACACATCAACTTCAATAGAACAGCCAAGAGCAAACAGTTTGCAGATGGCCAGGTTCCCAGCGTGGGGATATTTCACCCCGGGATGCTTCATCCCGAAGTTCAGCCTTCCTTTTGAAGCAGGCTTTCCTTTCTGCTTCCCTCTTATTCCTTCCTTCCTCGCTGCCTCCTTCCCCCCTTTCTTTTTCTCTTTTTATTTCTTATGCTCCTACCCAAGGGGAGTATCCAAAAAAAAAAACAAAAAAACAGAAACTATGATTTCTTCCCAGGTGAAACTGACAATAAATTTAGGGAGATAAAACCTGAAACATAAAATGATATGTGAATATAAGTGTCGGGTGAGGCAGCCAAACCTATATATTTAACGGTAAAGAAAATTCACAGTAAATAAGTGATCCATTTGAGGTGGGGTTTGCCAGGAAAGTTTCTTGAAGCCAGTTTGCTTACTTTCTTTCCTGCTTGCTCCAAAGCAAGTTACTTCAGCTTCTAGTCATTTGATTCCATATGCATTTTGTTCTTTATCCACATCATCAGCATAGCTACATTTTTGGGGGGTTTGTTTTATCATCCAGTCCAGGTTGACTGATACCTAATTTTCTTATCTTGTTTCCCAATGTTTACATGGTGTTCAAACCTAACGCCAATCTATGATTGGTCTTTTTTTTCTTCCGTATATCCATACATTGGTGTGACTATAGCTTCCGGTGGGATTACAACGGTGATGGACAGGTGATGGTGATAATGAGAGGGCTTGTTTGGACCACGATTTGATTCCATACTCCAAATTAAAACTTCCTTTGGCCAAACAAAGCAAGGGAAATCCTTGGGAACACAAAGGCACAGAACCAGTATTTACTGAGCACACGCTATGCTGGATACTGTGCTACGTGTTTTAGACAAATCCATTCAATTGTTGCTCACAGTAAGTTCAGCTTACAGATGGAGGAACTGAGGTTCACAGAGTTAAGTTAACTTGCTTAAGATGGTACAACTGGTATGTGATGGAGCTAGGATTCAAACCTAGGTCTCTCTCACTCCCAAACCTATACTTTTCACACTATGCTAAAATCTGCCCCAATACAGGGCTTGTAAAGGATTCCCAGATGCTGGGACTGCAACAGAATCCCAGACAGGTCACTGCCACTGCCCCTTTCGGGAAGAACTAGAGTCAAGGGCTCCTGGGTGCTCCAGGAAATGCTATGGAAACTGAGTGATGTGTGTGAGGAGAGGCGCGAGGGAAGAGGGGAAGGTAAGTGTGTAAAATATGTTCCTCTGTCACCAGTTTTAGGTTCAGCTATGAACACTCTGCACTAAAGAATGTCGGTGTTTCCAGAGTTACAGCTCTGTGGTGACATTGGTCTCTCAGCCTGCCTACTTGTTCACAGCTACTATGGGAAGCGTACCAGGTGGTGAGTCTAGGTGATGTCATTCACCTTTTGGATCCAGAACCAATGTCCCTTGTGACCATCTTAGGACAGGGACCAGCCACCTGGTTCAGTCTCATTTGACTGTTATGGTGTCTTTTTCCCTCAAGAGTCTCATTGCCTTTTTTGGCATCTAGCCTTGGACATAGCCAATGCAGTCCATCCTATCAGCTTTTATAATTTTAAATATCTGGGGAAATACATAGTAATCTTGGTTCCTTTCCTTTAGAAGGCTTTGGGCTCTTTTTGTAAATCGTACATCCCATTTCCAGAAACCTCCACACTCACTTCTCAATGGTATGAGAGAATGCCCTCATCTGCTAAATCCTGGAGCCTGGTCTCTAATTCACTCAAAATGTGACCTCTGTTTAATCTTAGAAGCGGAGTAACCAAATGCACGCTCCTTTCTGAACAAGATGACAGTACTCTCTGTGGCCTGGTGCTTCTCGAGCTCAGCCCCAGTCTTGCATCTCCCAACTTGCCCATCCTGTTGCCATGAACCAAAGCTGACTGGAGGACAAAGAAAGGCAATAACAGGAAAGCTCATTTAGAATAAAATACAGACACACAGGAGCTGACAGAGGGGGCAGATGAGAAGAGGATGGAAGTGAGGGAGTGGGTTTTCATTACAGAAGAGTTTTGATTTTGAGGCAGCTTTTTCCTTGTGACGGGGGATGGAGATACCAGTAGAAGCTAATGAAGCTTAATTAAGCTTCAGGTCTCTCACTTGCATGGATGGGTCTCTTCCAAGGCCCTGGGAGAGACTCTACAAATTTTTATCTATTATTTTACATTCTTTTTCTTAAAGAGAATTCCCCTCCCCCAAATGGTATAAATTTCAGGCTCCACACAACCTGGATCCATTTCTGCACTTTTAGAACGGTTCTTGCTAACACAGAGACCAGTCCTAGCTTGGCCAGTCAAGAGTTAACACTGAATTGGTCAACCCTGGCTGAAGGGATTGGCTTAGTAGAAAGAGATTGGTATCCCCCTTTCTTTGGGCCAGGGATGCTAAATAAGTTTCATCTCATGTGTTAACCTCAATTACAGCCACGGTAATGGCTGTGTTGAGAAGGATTCTGAAGCCAGGTCCAGGTTCATGAGAGTCAAGAACAATTAGCGATGGCTGCCATGGATATCTACCCAATACTAGCCCTCGTTTGGATTTAGACTCCATATCTCTTGCCCAAGCAGGAAGCTGCAGTATTACAAATGTGGCTAGAAAAAATAAAGAGCAAAGGGATGTCTTTTCCTGTGGTAAATGTCTTTCAGAAAGCACAAGGCAATTCTTTTTATCTGGCTTCATGAATTATGCAAAATGTTGAGATACCTGGCAAAGAAAGATTCTTCATAAGACATATACTGAGCCTGGCTAATGACTGTCCCCTGAATGCAGAGCTGGATGCTGAACAGAAAGTGGCCTGGACCCCAGTGCCTCTGAGACTTTCTATCTCTGCCATGGGTTTGGTGGGTCACACAAAGACTTAGTGGTCATTCTCCAAATGTGGGCTGAGGTTGTCAAATGCTATATTCCAGGCTTAGCGCATTCTTGGTGTTTAAAGAGTCAAAAATCATTGTTCATGAAACAGTTAATAGGTGACAACAGATTCATACTATATACTTTTCCTGAATAGAGTGGGTTATGGGCTGAATTGTGTCCCCCAAAATTCATTCAGTACCTCAGACTGTGACTGTATTTGGAGATATGGTCTTTAAAGAGGTAAATGGGGTCCTTAGGGAGGGCCCTAATCTGTTATGACTGGTGTCCTTATAAAAAGAAGAGATCAGGACAGAGACACACATATGGGGAGAATGCCATGTGAACACAAAGATGGCCCTCTCAAGCCAAAGAGAGAGGCCTCAGATGAAACCAAACCTGCTGATACCTTGATCTCAGATTTCTAGCTTCCCCAGAACAATCAGAAATCAATTTCTGTTGTTTAAGCCACCCAGTCTATGGTACTTGGTTATGGAAGCCCTAGAAAACTAATATAGTGTGTTTATGACATTCCTCTGGAATTTTGTTGTCGGCCATATAATGTGAAGTTTCACATATTTTCTGGTTTATGTTTTATTCATATTTATTGAAAAGTTCTCTCTTCATTTTTCTGTTTTTTTTTTTTTTTTCTTTTACCATTCAAGCTCTGGGCAGAACATTTAGCAGTGGTGATTTTTGCCACAAGCCAGCCTGACTTGATGATATTTTTATTTAAACTGTCAGTAAGATTTATTGAGAAGCTGGTGAAAAAGGAGGACAACCTAAATTAATTTCACTGAAATGTACTGGAGGATGTAAATTACCCTTGGTTTGAAAATCTGGTTAACAGTCCTGTCAGTTCAGAAAAATGTTGCTGGAGAGAGAATAGCAGGGAGGGCTATAAAAGTGCAGGCTTATCACGCCAGGGGGTGTTTTGATCTATACTTTGAATAACATGGTTGAGGTTAGTAATTTGTTTATTTCAGAATCAAGCTGATGAATTTCAGTGATTATTTGGTGTGTATCATAATCAGCTGTAGAGTCAGCAAATGATGTGCACTATAGCCCTCGGAGGCTGGGATCACAGGAAAAAACCACATCTTGATTAGCCATCATTCATTAACCAGAGTTCATTTGCAGTCTGTTCTTAGGAGAAAAATGTGTGATAACAAAAAACAAACATGTAAGGCATTAAAAAAAATAATAAAATTTCTAGAGTATATCCTAGGATTTAGTATAAATCCAGGCCAATCTCAGGTATCATGTCCATCTATATTCAAATATCTGTTTAATATGAATTATTGGCAAGAATTAGGATACTGAAGTAATGCAAATCTTCAATCATTGAAAAGTGAGTTAATTTTGTTTACTGTGTAGCATCTACTAAGGTAGAGAAGTGAGCTGACTATATTAAGAAAGCATTTTCCATAACAAGGGTAGACATGAATGAGAATTCTTATTTAATTGTCATTTAAGCAGAAACTTCAATGAATAAATTGCAGCCCTTAAAAACAGAGGTATTGGGGCTGGCCTGGTGGCATAGTGAAGTTCGTGTGCTCTGCTTCAGTGGCCCAGGGTTCACAGGTTTGGATTCCGGGCACGGCCCCACGCACTGCTTACGAAGCCATGCTGTGGCAGGTGTCCCACATATAAAAAGTAGAGGAAGATGGGCACAGATATTAGCCCAGGGCGAATCTTCCTTAGCAAAAAGAGGAGGATTGGCAACAGATGTTAGCTCAGGGCTAATCTTCCTCACCAAAAAAAAAAAAAAAAAAAGAGGTATTGTCAGCCAGACCTGATGGCCTCGTGGTTAAAGTTTGGCACTCTCACCACTTCAGTGGCCTGAGTTCCCTTCCTGGTCACAGAACCACACCCCCCGTCTGTCAGTAGCCATGCTGTGGTGGCTCAC